TGGCCCATGTCAACATTGGTTTTAGCGACGTACTGCCCAGCGTAATTCTTGATGCTTATTTAGATGCAAAAATCAATGCAGTCTTGCATAATTTTGTTAGCATGACCTAAAGCTCAAACAAGGTCATTAATCCCAAATGAGCACTGTTGATCTCTTGCTTAGAAGGTATTTATATTGACGGCCATTGTATGAGGAGGTTTGTGAGGCACTTGGGACGTCAATCCGGAGTTTGTTCCCTTATTTGACCCGAAGATCGTGACCCAGGAGCCTCAAATTTTGACAAGTGAGTTCAACACATTTATCCGTCCCGGTGGCTCTGTTGGTTAGAGTGCCTGCTTTCCGATCTACCCACCTGTGGCAGTGTGGGTTCGAGTCGCTTTAGGGCGCTCGCTATTTGCCCTTGGCAGGTGCGGCCTGCGGCCGGTGGCAGCGGTCGCGCTAAAGGTCAGTTGACGTCAGAGGGCAGGACGGGCCTTGCCAGACATTGCGGCACGTTAAGCTTTCGCCACTACATTCTGCCGTTGCCTGGAATTTCAAGATCGGATGGCGGGAGTCAGGGCTCACACAACAAGCAATGCTCAGCGTGAACGCTGATCCCAGAAATCCATCCATTCAAATGGCTCGACCAGATTAAAAAAAAAATGTGCAGGTCAACATACCCTATAAATTTGTTATGCCTAGCTCCTTGGTTTCTGAGATCTCAGGGGGTTCAAATTATTCAACCGGTCGCCCGGGCGCGTGTTAATCCAAAGCATGGGGGTACCTATGGAGGCAACAGACTGCACTTATCCGGTTAGGCAATATGCACGTGGGTCATTCTATTGCAAATCGAGCAAAGGATGACACACGACTACCTTGCATTTCGAATCAATAGTGAAGTTTTATATAGCTCTTAACACGTTTCGCAGAAAAGTAGATTAGCCGAAGTAGGTACGCTGCAGCGTGATACATTTTCTTCTTCGAGGCCTTGAAAGAGGTAAGTTTGAAACAACTGCTTTAAGGAAAGTGAAAGAATGAACCCGAAGTTCAACAGTGAGGCGATAGGCATGATGCACGGTTGTATACTCATTACTGTTACGTAATTATAAGTTCCAAAATGTAAGACAGGCATATGTAAATAACGAGACCTTTTTCACAACCAATTTATAACAAATTTGATGCGTGTATAATACATTATGTGTATATAATATATTTAAACACGCATATATTATGCATGCGTGTTTAATTTCAACATAAGCGTAACATTTACACTCTCCATACATGTTTAGGTCCATCTTAAACGTAATTGACATTTGCACACTGATTCGTCCAGCGAGCACCGAATCAGTCCTCTCGCACGCCATGGTCCGCCGCCTCTGTCCCACGATACCCCTCCCCCTAACTTCGGTTTCCTGGCGAGGCCCGAGGCGATGCGTAGGGGTAGGGGGGGGGGGGGGGGGGCACTGGCTGGTCGGTACACATCATAACCGACTTAAGCAGCGTACTGTAAAAAAGCGAATAGTACAGATAGCACATCGGAATGTGTAGAGCGATAGTGAGATGCGCAACTCATGTACTAGCTGGATGATAATCTGCATCAAACAAGCACCCGCAAACTTCCGTGGATGCGAGCTTTCTATGGACATTATTCCGTACACCGGCACACACACCTACCTACAGAGGGCCGAGAAATGATATTACATTGGCTACTCGAATGCAAAATGGGAGTTGAACCTAGCTGAGTAAGGAATCAGCTCAGGATACTTGCGGACATTTCGGTTTTCGACGCCATACTGCCGCTATCATGCATTGTCAATCACCTGCTGCGAGGCAGTACAACCTAGTCAGAAGCCCGCCAGCCGTCTTGAATTTTTTTCTTCATCAGTGATAAAACTTCCGAGGAAGCCCTTCACTGGCCCATCTGGAGCACTTTGAAAGACGGTTTTATACGTTTCGAGATGTGTGTCGTTCATCATCGTGTGCATGTGGTAGCCCCTCGTTCTCATGACGGTGCACGCCTCAACACACCAACATATCTCCTGCTCACGTGTAATCTGCACATATTTTTCGACCACTTTTGACCGGACTTGTAAAAACTGGGAATGATATGATACCACAATACTGTCGACTGTAAATTCAAGTGTAAGACAATCCTCGGTACGAATGTTACCATGAAAACGAAAAAATGTTATGCTGCTAGGAACTACTAGACTATTGCGAATCCTGATGGGTTAAAAACGTCGCCAGCCGAAATGATCAAGACGGTGGACGCAGACCAATAACTACGGCGACCAACAATTCCTTCCATGGTGAGAACTTTGCCTGCCTGTCGAAAGATAAAAAAGCGTCCACTTGCCCACGAGAGTGGGAGACTCGTATCAACGCCCGCCCATCATGAAAAGAGACTAAAATGTTCTCATTGTAAATTTTTTTATCAAACATCTTGTTCACAAAATGTCAAGTGCGATGAACTTGCGCGCATTGCAGTACTGCAAAATAAATATTTGTTTTTAGTGTCCTAGTCCTTTTTCAGCAACGGCACTTTGGGGAGAGGGCTTGTAGGCGGCTTGTGGGCACACGCCACAGTCTCCAAGTCTTTTGAATGGTTATTTCATTTCAGCTTTCAACATGCTTCTCGTCGTTACTGCGCAGTATCCTTAAAGCGAAAGATTGACCGCTCACTAAAGGCGTAAACTCACCATATGAACCACGCATGACATCCTGGTACTGTCAACCTATGTTTGTGCATGAGTTCCATCTATAGAAGTAATGAAAACTATAACAATTTGATTTATAAGTACCACTTACGACTTTATTATTATTCCTTACAATCGGTACGCTGCAGATATGCTGATTAAAAACTAATGAAGTCGTTATCATCGTTGTACTTAATTCCATTCCTGTCAGAGTGGCGCAATTTGCCTTAAAATGCGCCATTACGGCATTGAGCATTGTCATCATCTGGGTTGGTGCCCTGGTGTATGCTAGCCGGAAGGACTATGTGGAACTGGGAAGGGTAGGTTAAGTTGAATGTAACATTCGGTGGTGAATGCTGTGCGAATTGTAAATAGAAGCTGGCCACATGTCTTGATGAAGGCATGTGGAAGGCATACCCAATATTGCATAGGTGCCTGTCCAACAATATGTGTAGTTGGAATGGCTGTGAGGAGGGTATGGGACTGAACATGTCCAGATTCTGAACTTTTGCTCCCCATGTGCAGTGCAGTTTTGCTCGATTTGCGGTGAACTGATCAGCATGTGAAGACGTCCAGTTCACTGCAACTCGCATGGCTGAATTCCAAGATCAGGCATCAGTATGAGGACAGCTTCCTTGTACATTTTTAGAAATTTTCGTTTGAAAGACACTGGAAATTGGCCAGATTTCAAAACATTTTGTTAGGACAGCACCTGAGCAAAATTGGACTCAACACGCGCTCGGTTGGGGGTCAAACTTACCCCCCGAAAGCTTTTCCGGAATGGTTTCCGAGCGAAACGGCGTAGGCGCGCCAAATTTTGCATATCCGTCCAGCACTAGGGCGGCGGTGCTTTCGGCACAAGAGTGTCCGTGTGTGTCCGGCAAAAGAGAGGCCGTATGTTCGGCAGAAGAGAGGCCGCAAATCCAGCACAGGAGATGCTGCGTGTCCAGCATTGGGGTAGGTGCGCGTTAGGTGGGTGTAGTCTCCTCTTCAGACGCGGGGATTGTACTCTCTCACAAAAGATGTACTTTCCTATTTGTATTGCTTATGTTTCCATAATTTTTTGATCACGCATCAGATTATAGGACTAAGCCTCCCGCAGCTGATTTTGAAAAACTGCGCCCTTGCTCCCAACTCTGAAAAGAAAGTGAGTTAAGCCTAGAAAGGAAAAAAAGTGTTTTTAGTGCATTCCGAAGGCAGGCCTAACGACTTTTTGCTTCTTTGCCCTACCCTCCCCACTCACCCAACGAATTTTGCAAAAATGCATCCTTTCAGCCCTTCTAACATTTAACGGCAAAATGGTTCTACCTACGCATGAAAACAACGCCACTTTTGGTTATGTGACGTCATTGTGCAATCAATTGGAAGAGGAGGTGACCTTTACAATTTTTACATAATGACTGCTCTTATCGGTGTAGGTCTTGCACTTCCTAACACAGTTTTGATCCATGGAATTTAGGTGAAACCCATACAATATTGGTATAAGCAGATGCAAATGACATCATCGCCTAACATCACCAGTTATCCCTGAGTGCAGGTTATGTGTGGGAGGCCTACGTAGGAGAAACTCGGCCTCTTGCCCCACAGCCGCTGTTCCTCTCAGCAGCAGTAAGCCGCGGATGAATGCTTGGCATGTGTCAGTCGATCATATTCAGGTAATCTCTAAAGCTTAAGTTCGGTATCCAGAAACAAAGCTCGTGGATCAGCGGGGCTGTTTGCCGGGGACACCCTCCATGGTAGATCGTCAGAAAAGTTGCACAGCACCTTAAAAAAAAAAACTGACGAATAGGCTACGTTGCTTAAACCAGCGAGCTTTTCACGAAGCAAACACAACCAATGGCGGCCGACAGACTAGCATCGAAACCAATTCGAACTCATACGTCTCACACAACGCTCTAAAACGCCGCGGGGCAGACTGATCACGTCCGTCGCAAGATGCCGAGACAAACCACGATTTTTACGACTAGGAGAAACCTACCTATGTGGTGTTGTATGCTGTTCAATATTTTAAGGAAACCTTGGCTAAAAAAAAAATGTGAAGAGCATTGATATGAGGGGTACTGCTATCACCACTGATCGGTGACGTCACTACTGATGTAGTATGGTTTGAAGTAACGCTTTTTCTGTCACTTGGTGTGCAGGATTGTTGAAATAATAGGTTCATAGCTCTGTGGCTAGGGCCTCGCCGAACGCCTCGGCGGATGAGTGGCAATGGGGGAGGAGCACTGCCACCAGCCCCAAAATGCCTGCGCTCCTGGATGCATTTTTCCCCTGTGTCACGAAGGATTTTTTCGCGGACAGGTTCTGGCTTCTATCGGCCTCTCCATGAGCAACTTCTGCCTGGCTGGCTCCTTCTCGTTTGGTGGAGTGCTGGCTGACCAGCTTGCCGCTGAGGACGCCGACCTCACCTTCACCAAGACTCAGATCTCGTGGGTCGTGTCTATCGCCAGCATCGGCAGCATGCTGGGCTTCGTCGTCTCCAGCTACGCCAGCCCGCGGTTGGGCGCAATCCGGATTGTGCAGCTCTTCTCGCCGGCAGTGCTGGCCGCCTGGGTCATGATGGCTTTCAGCCCAAACTTCTGGACCCTGCTAGCCAGCCGCGTTTTAGCTGGCCTCTTCAACGGCGTGTGTGTGAGCCCGGCCGTGGCCTACATGGGCGAGGTGTCCTCTGCGCGTATCCGCGGCTACCTCACCGCCGTGGCGATCGTCAGCGGCTGCGTGGGCGTCCTGGTCTCCTTCCTGTTCGGCTGGCTGGTGGGCTGGCGGCACGCCTGCCTGGCGATGGGCGCCGCGCCGATGCTGATACAGTTCCTGATGTCGCTGCTGCTGCCCCGCTCCGCCAAATGGCTCATCTCCAAGGGTTTTCCCGAGGAGGAGGCCAGGCAGTCGCTGCGCTTCTACCAAGGGGACGGCTTCGACGTGGACGGACAGATTCGCGAGATTCGCGCGTCCCTCGGCGCCGCCCACAAGCACGACGCCTCCGTTTTGGAGGTGCTCTGCCTTCTGCGCCACCGGCAGAACCTGATCCCCTTCCTGCTCGTGCTCGCCATGTACACTTTCTTCGTGTTCTCGGGCGGCTCAAGCACGTCCTCGTTTGCGCCGGTCGTGTTCCGCGACCTGGGTGGGTTTGAGGACCCGTACCTGGGCTCCATTCTGGCCGCCACCGTCCGCGTCATCTCCACCAGTGTGGCGATGCTCATCATGGACCGCGTCGAGCGGCGGACGCTCCTGATGGTCAACGGTATCGGTGGGGCACCCGGCTGCCTTGTCATCGGTCTGTCGTTCGTCTACAAGGCTGAGCTGGCCAACCACGCCTGGGTGCCGCTGCTCGCCGTGCTCGTCGTCGTCTGCCTCATGTCCCTCGGGATCTGTACGGTGGTGTTCGTCATGTTGTCAGAACTGCTGCCCAACGCCATCCGCGCAGAGGTCGGCGGCGTGTGCCTGCTCTTCTTCGGCGCCGCCAACTTTGTCATGTTGTACTCGTTTCCACTAGCCATCTCGAGGCTTGGCACCCCAGCTGTGTACTGGTTCTTCACCGGCATGCACCTACTTCTGTTCGCGTTCGGCAAGGTATGCCTGCCCCGCACGCGGGGCAAGTCCCTGGAGGAGATTCAGAAGATGTTCATGAAGAACGCCGTGCTCGAGGTCAACGAGCCAGCCAGCACCCAAGTGGAGACGAACAAGACCAGCGACTGTACAAAGTTGTGACTGCGGTGACGTCGAGACTGATCGCAAAGTGGCCGCTGCCGTCGACACGTCATTAAGCCCAAGCAGCGCCGTGACTCGTAAGTTGTGCATTATGCGGTAAGCGAACATGGAGGGGAAACGACATTTAGAAGCGATTACGAAAAACGGTGACCAAGAGCACATGCATAGACACCAGGTGGTCTCCGGCATTGAAAGTCCCTAACGGCAACAAGGTATGGCGTGCATCATAATCGAGTATCCAAATGTCTACAGTGATAATTCCACCTGTTGCGACCGGTCCTTGCCGAGTGCAACCAGCAACTCAAATGCAACGGACGCAAATCGAGCTAAAGAGGGGTGTACTCTCTACTGTACCAAGCAAACTGCAATAAAAAAATCTGGGAAATAATGTGTTTGCTTTCAATCTGGCCGACATACATATGACAAGGTCATAGCATACTTAAGGGCAATCATTCCTCGATCCTTGCCGAATTTTGCTCTTGTCCTCTGGTATCATGCGGAAAAAAGTGACTGCCTCGGTAGCAAACAACTTTCTACCGGACGAGGGTGGTAAATATTTTGTTGATAATTTTTAGTTCAGCCGCAGTTTTACAACCACAAATTTTCAGGGTATTTTGTGCGCGAGATAGAGACCATGGGATTGTGTTACCAACTGCTCTGCAGAAAAATGCTTTAAAAGTTTTCTGTATGATTGATTTGATGATGATGATGATTATTTTCTGTATGACTGATGTATGATTTGCTTGCAGTTGATGCGGAATGGGCCAATGATTTTGTAAATGACGATTTTGGTGCATTTTCCCGCATATCCATGTATATGCGTATGAATTATTATATATAGCTAGCGTTGAATGCAGATGGTCACTCAGCGCGTTCAGAGAGATTTAGCGAGGGTTTTAAAAATATGTTTCATCGAGAACGGAGAGAGGAGCTGTTGGGGGGTTGCACTTTCTCAGGGCTGTTATGCAACCCCCTCCCCCCCAGACGTCAGACCCGTCTGCAGGCTGCCTTGTAGTCAGTGTTCTGTGGCGAACGGCCGTACGTGTTTACCTGATGTGACACCCCGATGGCGCGCATCGGCATGCTGGCGTGTATCGAGACAAAACTGCGGGAAAGTTTCAGAAATACTCCAATCCTGCCAAGCGAGAGACCATGTGTGCTTTAGAGCGCTGGCTAAAGCCTTTCAGCTGACGCCGTAACATCATGCTCGGCCGTTGATATCTGTTCTTAATGGGACGCCCTGATATCGAAATGATAAATGTCCTTGCCCACCTAACAGCGGAGATGATACTGCGGTAGCATTTGAGAGATATTTGTAATCTCGGGTGAGAGTTCGGACCGTGCATTTTTCATAACACTGGCAAAAGACAAGCGACTGGAGCTCTGATATCGAACAGAATAAGGGTAATAGGGGCCCAGTAGAACAAAGGTCAGTACCTAAATTGTATCCTATGTCTGAAACACACTAGACTTGCCGTGAAGGATATTTTTGGTGTTCCGTGAATTTGGCTAGTACTAAGTAAAGGCAGCGTGGCGCAGGTACCATTTAACGAGAAACTATCCAGGAATTGTACGCTGCATTACCTTGACAGCGTGCATTGGCTGCTTTCACACAATCAAACATATTCCAAATGGATCGGGCCAACACATTCTAAAGCGCTCCAGTTCTGAACGCTCGGCCTGTTGGTTATGGATCCGACACATCACCACATTACCGCCTGAGTTACTGATACCAGTGAGCGCACCTCGAAAGCCGCGAACCGGACCTGTCATTGCGAAACAGCGCTTAACTGCGCTTAGTGACACCCCTAACGAGCCGACCGCTCCAGGCGAGGTCATGCGTCTCACAGCTCCTGGCAACTCCGGTAGACTTGCTGGCTGGGACGGGAAAGCCGTCGAGATAACGGCAGGCGGTGGCGGGGCCGGACCGACTGTGACGTCACTCATGTCAGCCGCGATCCGGGAGCCCACCGACGGGAATAACTCGTTAGGGCAGGCCGCCCTGGTACGTTGTTCTGCCTCGTTGTGGTTCAAGTTGTAGGTGCTGAGCCAGAAGGCGTCAAGAAGAACCTCCTCTGGCTGGACCAGAAATCCTGGCTGTTGGAAGCTTTGAGCTGGCGGATGGAAAAATATCTGAGAGTCTGCACCAACCGGCTGAGCCCTGAACACCTTGACCGAGTTCTGGAGACGGCGGAAGTCCGCTCGAGGCTCCGGCGTACGTATATCTAGCCGGGCCTGGTACGCTTCGTCCCGCTCAGACATGACTCAGCGCAGCTAAGGACTGTCTGAAAGCCAAGGGCAGCCCCATAGGCGGAGCTGTATGGCACGGGCTGGGCAGTACCGATCTGCAGCCATACAGTGATATTTTGGCCACAGGCGTTGTAAAAACAGAGGGTACATATGGGAATAAATGAATATATATTCGCCTATGCGTTGTGCTGTAAATGGATGAACGCAGGCTACTCCACTTTCTGTAACTGTTCCGACGGAGATCTGTTGTCGAAACATCAATAAATCACCCTATTATCACCTCGGTAGCCGTCAACGAGAAATAACAGCACACAAAGTGCTCTTCAATATATTCATATGTATATACACACACACACATATATATATATATATATATATATATATATATATATTCAAAAACATATATTTATATGTATATATATGCATATATATATATATATATATGTATATAGTTCTAATATGAGGATATATTGATATGTCTTGCGCTGTATATATGTGGAATGTTATAAGCTTGCGTTAGTTTTAAATATCCCAGGCTTTTCTTGTGTTGTTGACCTTAGGATTTACCGCAGAAATATAATGCAGCGGTGATGCTTTCATGCAAAATATTAGTCCTGATCACTTTCCCATGAATCTCCTTTACCGCGCATCATTTTGAACGCCCTGAGGTGGGAGTGGAAGGGAGCTCAGTCTGTTTACCAGCACTGCCTTTGCTCCAAGAAAGGCTGCAACCACGACACATTTGAGAATAATATCAGCTGACGGACCGCTGAACGTGTTCTCGCTAGTTAGATGAGTAAGTTGTGGTAGTGGGTTTCGTGGCTTAGAACCAAGCAGGATGGTCACTAGTTGGAAAAATTCGTAGCCCGGCAATCACAGACGAAAATATTCAATATAAATGCACATCAACACAGCTGCGTGCACAAACGATCAACGGCAACAACGGATAGCAGCCCGTCCCGACAGCTCGAATGGTTAGAACGTCTACCGTGTCGTCATCACAAATGTTAGAGCTGCTCAGAACCACTGTCTGTTTAAAATGAATCTGAATGTTTCACACTTCTCTGGGCCGATCCGCAGCTCCTCTCTGTTCACAATAAGCAGGGAAAATGCAGTCGTCTTATGTAACTGAAGTTGTGCTGCTCTGTGTCGATGAAAAACTATACTCCATCCACCAACAGGGGGAAACTAACCTCAAAACCTTCGCGATGTACTGTTGCAGCCTGTTGTTCCCGATAACTTGCTCGCTTACTCTATCGGCCGGTTGAACGCCATCATTCAGCAGTATTCGGCGATGTGACCGGACTGATAAGGCGAGGCGTTGAGCGAGGCTTGCATGGATGGCTGCCGGTGCAGTGTAGAGCCGGTCAGACCGCAGCCCGGTAAGAGAGAGAGAGAGAGAGAGAGAGAGAGAGAGAGAGAGAGAGAGAGAGAGAGAGAGAGAGAGAGAGAGAGAGAGAGAGAGAGAGAGAGAGAGAGAGAGAGAGAGAGAGAGAGAGAGAGAGAGAGAGAGAGAGAGAGAGAGAGAGAGAGAGAGAGAGAGAGAGAGAGAGAGAGAGAGAGAGAGAGAGAGAGAGAGAGAGAGAGAGAGAGAGAGAGAGAGAGAGAGAGAGAGAGAGAGAGAGAGAGAGCGAGAGAGAGAGAGAGAGAGAGAGAGAGAGAGAGAGAGAGAGAGAGAGAGAGAGAGAGAGAGAGAGTTTGGACATCCGAAGTGACCTTATGCGGTGTTCCATCTCCCCCTGGCCGCTGTTTTGTATCGCACGCTTCCCACAACTTGGTTAGAGACGCATTACCAATGCAGCGGTTAGAGCAAGGTTGATGTCGAGCCATTTTCAAATAAGTTTAACGATACTCTCCAGCAAGTTATGTGGCGCACCAGGTATTTAGGTGACTTCAAGAAGAATGTTCCGACACATACCTGATCTACCGCGACATTGAGCAGGAAACAGAAGTTGAAGAACCGTGATGGGTACCCTCCTATCAACATAAGAGCTATGTGAAATAGCCATGAACGCTACCACAATAGCCAGAACGGACGTGTCTGAGATTGCATTGGTTCCATGTCTCCTCGCCTTTTTCTAAGCGCGTATGGCAAGACCTCCGACGATATGTCAAGTAGAAGGTGTTGGTCCGTTTATTCATATACAGCATCGCAATGTCATCTGTATCAGACTGCCTCCATGCAGGGCCATCACGTCTGTCACGATTAGTTTTTGTCTAGCATTGCCGGCAAAAATCCACATGTGGAACAGAGGACATGCCTCAAGATATTCCCTCTCCGTTCAAGGATTCCTGCATGGGGTGTTGCTGTCCGGTTGCACCGGATGCGTACACAGAAATACAGCATTCAGCGATAGTGCGACACATTATATGCAAGAGCGTTAATCAGTTTTGTACAAGCAGAACGACTGTCAATGTATGTACGCAGGCTAGTCCATGCATTGTGCTATGCAGTTGTAAATGGATGGGCGTAGGCTAGTTCATTTATTGTACAAAGATTTTCGCCAAAGGCTTGTTGCCAATCTATCAATAAGTTCACTATGTCATTTTGTCAGTCAATCATGTTGTCACCCCCTGGGCTATTAGGGAGAGAAAAGGCCAAAATAAGCGCTCTTATATATGGTATGATGCTCTTTGTAACTGCACTGGATGGCATGCCGGATTTGCGCAAGGTGTTGGCTAAATTTCTCGGTGAAGCATCCGTCAGAAAATCACAGCAAGGGTGAAGCTTAACTATACATAATTTTTAT